CTCTGCCATAAAGCCCCGACTGGTGGGGGGCTGCAGTGATGGTTGACTTTCTACAACTTTCTCCCATCTCCTGACTGCATCTCTGGAGCTCAGCTACAGTCATCTTTGGGTTCTTCTGTACCTCTCTCACCGAGGCTCTTCTCCCCCGATAGCTCAGTTTGGCCGGACGGCCAGCTCTAGGAAGGGTTCTGGTCGTCCCAAACGTCTTCCCTTTAAGGATTATGGAGGCCACTGTGCTCTTAGGAACCTTAAGTGCAGCAGAAATTTTTTTGTAACCTTGGCCATCTGTGCCTTGCCACAGTTCTGTCTCTGAGCTCTTCAGGCAGTTCCTTTGACCTCATGATTCTCATTTGCTCTGACATGCAGTGTGAGCTGTAGGGTCTTATATAGACAGGTGGGTGGCTTTCCTAATCACGGTCAATCAGTATAATCAAACACAGCTGGACTCAAATGAAGGTGTAGAACCATCTCTGGGATGATCAGAAGAAATGGACAGCACCTAAGTTAAATATATGAGTGTCACAGCAAAGGGTCTGAATACTTATGACCATGTGATATTTCAGTTTTTCTTTTTTAATAAATCTGCAAAAATGTCAAATTCTGTGTTTTTCTGTCAATATGGGGTGCTGTGTGTACATTAATGAGGAAAAAAATGAACTTAAATGATTTTAGCATATGGCTGCAATATAACAAAGAGTGGAAAATTTAAGGGGGTCTGAATACTTTCCATACCCACTGTATATAAATAAAAAAAAAATACAAATCAAACAAAAAAGGGACTGGCTTAATCTGAACTAAACATTTTAAACTGATGACCACACAGACAAAACCAGATGATAACGGTGGTACTGTGGAGCTGTTTGTCTATGATCGTACCTGTGCTCCATGAATAAAGAGGTAGCGTGTTGAGAGTTGTAAGAGAGAAGAGCTGAACTGCTGGGGGCTTTCTCTCAGTCTCATCTCCATCACAGCATCCTCTCCTTCTTCCCCAAAAGCTTTTCCACCCCTGCTCCCACGTACCTCACACACCAGAGGCCAGAACAGCAGCAACGGACAACCCGCTGAAGGTGATGAGAAACGGATGCATGTTGCTTTTTGTTAGTTTGCTTTAAAAAACACTTTTTTTTAATGTACGTTTTTAATGCCATTTTAATTTAGTTTAAAAAGTTCTGTCTTTGATTCTAAACATATATTCCAATTCTTTGTTGTGCTGTACCTTCCCAACAAAATCACTTTTGTAATTGTAACAGCTTAATTTCCCAAAGGAATCACTGGTTTTTAATCATATTAAACTCACTAACAGCATTTATTCCTGCTTCACTGATAATAACTACCTGCGAACAGGATGTGTGCCCCAAAGGTGTTGAGGGTAACCAGTGAGGCGGGGAGTACGGTGCCTGTGTGACCACCAGGGAATCCCACGAAGGCAGCACCCCACTGGATGGAGGGGAAGGTGGGAAGGTGACCTGTGGCATGAAAGAACTGGGTGGCAGCCAGAGACCACAGCACTACTGGAGTCCAGGGAACATTAAAGCCACCTGGGAGTAATGGTGAGAAGTGAACGAGCAGTGTAAAAAGTCATTTTAAAAGACAAAGAGCATGTCATTACTAATCAAAAAGAGGTAAAGAAAACACAAAAGAAAAGATGCATGATTCTCAGCATCTTACCAGAAAATGTTCCATGCAGGTTATGGAGGGTAATGGAGGAGGCATGAATATGCAGCAGAGCTCCCATTTCTAGCAGCAGCAAGAGGAAAGAGAGGGCCATGCCCTCTGGGTGCAGCAGCTGCAGACCAATTCCCAGGAGGCCACAGAACAGCAGGAGAGGGGCAGAGTAGACAGTTCCCAGTCCGTAGGCCTCCACAGCAGGCCTGCTGTCTTCCTCATGGCCTCCGCTCAGCTCTCCGTCATCCAAAGAAAGACGCATGCGCTGGTAGATCTGAGGGATGAGGTGGTGCAGCTCAGCTTGGGGGCTGATTCCGGTGCTGGCTCGGTAGCGAGGTGGGGGTAGTGACAAAGCTCTGGCTGAAGCTCCAGTCCTGGCCTTTACGAAAACAGTGACAGGATCTAGCCAGATCAGGAACAGCCCCAGTCCTAGGAGACAGAAGGCGGCCCTAGGGAGGGCCAGCTGTGCCAAGCTGATCAGCTCAGCCAGATTCCTGAAGCTGTCCTCTGAAGTGGCACTAACAGCCCAGTGGAGACACAGGCACACAGACAACAGTGGTAGGATCCAGCGGGCCGTGAACACCGTCCCACCTGAGGAATTGAGGTTACCATAGTGGCGGAGGCAGCATCTCACCATATATGTCCACAAACCCAGGGAGACGACAGCGAGGATATAGTTCAGGTTCTTCAACTGGCTGTCCTGCACACGGGAAAGGGGAGAAAGGAATGGGGATGGCTGGCAGGAGCCCTGCTCTTCCCGACAGCCGTGGAAGAAAAGGGAGAGGTAGAGGCTCCCAATGAGGAGCCCTAAACAGGCTAGAAGGGTGCTACTTTCTTTCCTCACAGTCAGTGGGGACAGTGCTGGGGAAGGCAGCAACCCTGCAGACTTCAGGGGGTCATGGCTGGGGGGTAAAAGCAGGCTGTCCCAGTTGAGATGAATAGGAATGTAAAGAGCCAGTGAGAAAACCAGAAAGGTCACTACTCGGCCTTCAGCAATCACATAGCTATCTGAGAGCAGGGAGGCACAGCGGAGTAGTGGCACCAACAGAGAGGGTCCAAGGAGGTGACGTGGAGTCAGCCAGTTCGCATACTTTGGAGCTTTTGTTCCATTCTTTGCTGCTGCAGACTTCCTGCTTTGACAAGCTCTCCAGAGGAAGAGAAGTTCAGAGCTGAAAGCAGCAGCAGCCAGGCACCATGCTAGCTCGATGTAGGCCTGCGTGAGCAGCTGACCAACAGCTACACAAACCCCCACTGTTAGTGCCGCGACAACTGGAGCCTTCAATCTGGGCCCATTCTCCCTGATCAGAACACAGGACAGCTCAGACAGGATAAAACACATGAGGCAAGCAAGCGCCAGGATGGCTAAACCTGCTGCCATCTTAAGTGGGTTGAATCGAGCCCAGGTAGCTTGGCACGTGTCTCTGACAGAGGTGAGGTAGGCCTGCAGGGAGGCAGCCAGCTCTGGAGAGGGTGGCCGACCCTCTCTAAGTGTCATGAGGTAGTCAGAGGAGAGGCGGGAGAATTCGTCCTTCAGTTGAGAAAGGCTCTCTGGTGGGATGTCTTTGGCCATGCTGGAGTAAGTCTCCAGGAAACGGTTTACCTTCAGAGACAGAACGGTGAAATTAAATATACACAAAACACACAAGTGTTGATCATGCTCGAGGATATGTGAAGTCTGTGGCTTTATCTATGTGTAAACATTACAAAACAGTGCTAGGCATGCGCCTTGCTGAGCAGGCTACCTGCTTTGCGTTGATCCACAGTGCCTCCATCTGGCTGAGGCCTCCAACTGCACCTTCTGTCTGCCCATGTGGTGGAAATAAAGGCAAGAGAACCTGCCCCACGCTGCTGTATGGGATGGGAACTCCCAGGAGCAGAGCCAGGGTGGGTACCAGGTCAGTCTGGGGCACAACGTCTGGTTCATTCTACAAAAATGAGAAAATAAAAGCCAATATGTGTCAAATTTATACTGTATTTAGGAAATCCTCTGCATATCGAGGAATTGGAATATAAAAACACATTTTTATGTGTGACTAAAATATGTTATTGTTGGATTGGCACAAAAAAAATGTCCCTGTGTGTTTTGTAGCACACAGTGTAGTATCCACATTAAATTAAAGTAGAAATATATTGGATTGGATTGGCACAAAAAAAAATTGTCCCTGTGTGTTTTGTAGCACACGGTGTAGTATCCACATTAAATTAAAGTAGAAAATGAGGCTAAACACTTCTTCATAGTGACCGGCTGGCTGTCTGTAGCACAGAGTATCATGTTGAGAAATCTAGAATTGAGTGTTTGGTTAGAAGACTTGTAAAATATACAAAACATAATCACAAAAAAACAATTCACATTCAATAGGAGAGAAAGAAAACTGAGATGATGCTTTCAGGTCGATAAAACAGGTAACAACAGACTGGTTATTTTGAGCAACAAATGGTTCGTGAAATCCCTTAAGTGCGATTATGAATAAATATTAACTCAAGCAGTCAGTCGCCTCTGCAGTCACATTTATCAGTAAGGCTGGTGGATTTGTTCTGTCCTCATGAAAAACGATTACTGGATAAGAGTGTCTCAGTGTCTAATAGGGCATCATGTCTGATTAGCCCTCCTTTCTTAACAGTAATGCTATTTTCCATGTACCGGTGTCACTCATGATTTTCCACAATCTGTTAAGTAATGCTCCAGTTGCACTGCAATTACAGAGGTCAGCGGTGGAGTTCACTTTCCTAGTGTGAAATCCGCATATCTCCCAGAAAATGTGGAGGCCACCTGCCAGCATCAATTTAACGGATTCAGGAAACTGCACAGCCAACCATGAACAGAAATGCACAAGAAATTGTTTCATTTTGATGAAGACAGCAAATATTCTTGTGATTTTAAGAGATAAACACAATGTAAAGAGTTATTTGCTGATCAAATTAAGACAAATAAACATATAAATAGATAGAAGGGCATTGGTACAGGGCCTTCCATTTTCATTTCTTTCCTTTTCAGCTAATTTGTAGAATGAAGTGATATAAAACTGCTGTTCAACTGTGTGTTTTCTGTAAAAAGATCTAGCAGTCAAATCTTTGTTTTGACCCCTTGTGACTGTGCACAAATTGAAAATAATGACTCAGTTACGGAAACTTCCAGCTGTCTAAAACAGTGCTTCTCTCTCACTCTGCACTGCATTAGCATATAGTTAAGTACTTACTGGAATGCACTATTTAATGGGACAGAACAGGAAATCCAATGGTGGTGTCACTATCTGTAAAATTAATCTGAACCAAGATGTTTTACATTTGGCCTAATCTCAGATTTTTTTATTATTATTCCATTATTCTGCTTTATCATCTCTATACCTTGCATGACTTTAAGACCAGGTTTCAGATTCTCCAAACCTTGTGACAAACCACTATGAATGGGCCAGAGCAGTAATTTACTCAACTTATAGGTATTTTCTTTCTTTTTTATATATTTTTACTGTGAGTATATGGCGTGTCAAACTACATTTTACACCATGTTTATGTTTTTATCATATTTAAAGCAGCTACTCCAATGTCCTTTCAGCCACTAAAGGGTCTAGTGAGACTTAATGCAAGTTGACACCGCAAGTTGCTTCTAATCGCTCGTTTAGTACAATTTCATTATAGGAGTTTTTAAACTAGCAAATCAACTCTTGCCTATGCCTCTCTGCAGTGTAACAACAGAGACCTGAGAGTGAGTGGTTGGCTAAGAGCTCATCTTACTGAGTACTTGATCATAATAATTAAATGTTCTTTTGAGTGTCATTCCTTCATAAGGATTCTGATCATGTTAAAAATGAGTGTGAAGACGTCTACCACCGACCTGTGATGGGGGTCCAGGAAACAGAGGGGCAGGACTGTAGAGGAAGACAGCAGCATCGGTCTCCTTCTGACTTTCTCCACCGTGATCGCCAGTGTCCGTCATCCCGTGATCTCCCATCACCACCAACAGGGTGTCATTCTGCAGATGGCCAATCACAGACCTGGAGGAAAAGGATGAATGAATAAAGACAATAATCAGGGATCCTACCCACTGTTTTCTATAAATTCCATGAAGTCTCAAATGAAGATCAGCTCATTTTAATGTTTGCCAGCAGTGCTACCAATGGAAAATTCAAAAACATTTCAACCAATTTAGCTTTGAATATACAGTAACTTGTCCCAATAATTCATACTGCCTTACTGTCTGGGTCCGCATCTAACAATACCAGTGCTACTAACTAACCTTAATACCTGTAGTACTACTGGTGACTATAATAAACAAGCATGTAGCAGCTGTCCAACCTGATGACTCCATCCATCTGGGTGAGCTTGTCAGCCATGGCTGGGTGGTCAGGACCAAACCTGTGACCACAGTGATCCACCCCAAGGAAATGAGCGACCAGGACATCCCAGTCATCACCCACCACTGTCACCAACAAGAAGGCCAAGTTGGAGAGATATGAAACGCAAGTGCAACTGAAGCAAAGTCTTCTATACATAACTACATGGTAGCTTGTCATATTCAAACTCATGCATTATTGTCTACAGCAGCTTGTTCACACAGGGATGTGCCAAACCTTTTAAGGCATTTCCTTTACATCTTTGACAGAAATGTAACCAAGTGTGTACCTACTTCAGATAAAAAGATAATAAGTAACTACATACTGGTGGTGTAGAGGTGCTGGAGGATCCCATTGTCCACAGTGTGCAGGTCCTTGACATTGAAAGAAGGGAAGGGCAGCGAGCGGTAGAACTTCTTAGGAAAAAGATTCTCCCAAGTGTCATCACCCATGAACACCACCCGTTTGCCTGGGACCACGCACACACATTTAAAATGAACAAAATCAGAAGACGTTGTTAGTTTATACCTACACACTGTGACTTTAGTTTTAAAAGAGGACCGGGCTGTATTTGAGTATGATGTAAGGTAAGAAAAAACATGCGTGACTTTAGTTTTAAAAGAGGACTGGGCCGTATTTAAGTATGATGTAAGGTAAGAAAAAACATGGCTGTATCATATAAAATGACCAAAACAAAACAAGCAACACAAAATGAGAGATAACAGTGAGCTATCAACATTGCAAAACACTAAAGAACACCACTCCAAACCTTTTCAGCTCCTGTAAATGATAAAATTCAATATGCCTTATTTTAAGTCCATCTCAGTCAACATTGTTAACATTGTGATATCCTGGCACCAATGGCATGATAGATTCTGTTATGATAATGAAGCATTATCATAACATACATCATAATCATAACTTCTTACATGCACCATCCATGCAATACTGACCCCACCCCATTCGGTGATACGGCAGCTGAGGTTCTGTCTTTACCAGCTGATGTAAATACCTGTACTAAAGCCACTGACTGAGGCATGGATGGACTCTCAATATGCTTGAACGTGTTAATTCATATACAGCAGGGCACTATACTCTCATTGTCACGGTTTCATCTCTAGGATCAACGAGGCTCCTTTAAACTCAGTTTTCAAGGTGTGTAACTGTGTAACTACTCACCTTCTTGTCCAAACTGGTGGATGAGATTGTCTTCCAAGATGGCACTGGATGCAAAGTTATTACCTACATCCACAAAAGTGGGCAGGGATCCAGTGGTGAAGCCCTTGATCCTCTGCATGGTGGTCGTAGGCGGGTCGGCACGAAACATCATAACATACATCATAATCATAAGTTCTTACATGCACCATCCATGCAATTCTGACCCCACCCCGTTCGGTGATATGGCAGCTGAGGTTCTGTCTTTACCAGCTGATGTAAATACCTGTACTAAAGCCACTGACTGAGGCATGGATGGACTCTCAATATGCTTGAACGTGTTAATTCATATACAGCAGGGCACTATACTCTCATTGTCACGGTTTCATCTCTAGGATCAACGAGGCTCCTTTAAACTCAGTTTTCAAGGTGTGTAACTGTGTAACTACTCACCTTCTTGTCCAAACTGGTGGATGAGATTGTCTTCCAAGATGGCACTGGATGCAAAGTTATTACCTACATCCACAAAAGTGGGCAGGGATCCAGTGGTGAAGCCCTTGATCCTCTGCATGGTGGTCGTAGGCGGGTCGGCACGAAATGGGTACAGGCGACTGTGCGACGGCTGGGATGAGACTGTTTCTTGCAGCACAGGCAGCTTGTTCTCATGAGGTCGGGGAGCCGTGTTGTTTGGGTCAAACCGGGCGAAGTCAATCTTCAGGGCGTCGATTATGAGAAGGACTGCCCTGCGGAACCGCGGCTGGACGCGGCAGAAGTCCACAGGCTCTTGTCCGGGCTGTAGCACGTCTCTGCAGGTGCTGGTCCTGTTCACCTCCAGCCGCACCAACAGAAAACCACTCATGAACAGGTAGATCCCCACAAAGTATACCGCACACATCCAGAGGAGCAAGAACAGCACCCGGAGCGCCTTCATCCTAAACACACAGGTGGCAGTAGTAAAGTTACGAAGAGAAGTCTGGCACACTTGTTCCACACCAAGGCTTAAAAAAGTCAAAGGAACAGCTGCCTGGGAGTGAGACCTGCTAAACGCGATGCTAATGTTGGCATTGTGTAATACCAGTTCCAGTTAAACGTGATAGATATTATTAACCAGCTGACGTTTTACTAAGAGAGGGAGAAGGTTAACATTAATAAGTTAAGGCTGTTAGCCGTGGCTAGCTCAGCTCGCTCTTGTCACTGACCTTGTTAACAGTCCGGTTTTTGTCCTCTCTCGGCAGGGGTAGGACTTCAATGTGTGTGTTCACAACACGGGGTTACGAGTGGCTCAGCTAAGCAGAGAACAACGCGACACCACCCTCACCTGCATTGGGACTCCAGTACAGGGAGATCAGATGCTTGT